AAATAAATAAATAAATAAATAAAATAAAACAATAAAAAAAATCCCTACTTTCTCTCTTTTCTATGTGCGTTTACAAATTGTATTAATATTAATAACAGTGGCATATGAGAAGTTTAATACCACAGAAAAAAAATTTAAATTTGCCTTTTCTCGAAGCTGCTGTAGGCTATATAAAAACACAAGGTGGCTGAATTTGCATGCTGTTTAGATAGCTGAAGCTTATAGGCATTCATTACTTTCACTCAACTGAATTAGTTTTTTAGCACCCCCTCTGAATTGTTAAGCCCCCCCTCAGCACCCCCAACAAAAAAATCCTGGAGCCGCCACTGTGGCCAACAAAACCGCCTGTAAAACCACAAGCAGAAGTAGAGAATGAAGAGCAGGTGCAGGTCAACACAGATGCTGCTACAAACATACGGCGAGTGCTTTCAGGACAACCAGGTGCTCTGAATCCAGCCGAACCGACAACACATCACCTGCCGCTTCAGCCGTTAACGGCACGCGTTATTACGGTTAACGGCGGCAACCTGCGGCTCCTTTGATCCGAGCCGAGTCACGGCGAACCGCGGCGGCCCGAACATATGGAGAGTCAATGGAGGCAAGTGACCTAAATTAATGGCCACTCCGACACACGCAGTCACTCGCCCCATGTGTGTGTGTGTGTGTGTGTGTGTGAGAGCGAGAGAGAGAGAGAAAGAAGGTTAATTACCTCCTCGTCCTTCACTGTCGGCCGGTTTCACCTGGATGGGCCGGTTCATCTGAATAAGAAAAAGAGAGAGATGTTAGAACAGCAAGTGTGTGAGTGAGAGAGAGAATATGTGTGTGTTTGTGTGTGTGTGTGAGAGAGAGAGAATGTGTGTGAGTGTGTGTGTGTGTGAGAGAGAAGAGCATGTTGATGCCTTCGGAGTCACAAGAGTGTCAGCTAAGTAAACAAACACATCACGAAATCACACATGCACACATATCGTCCTGTGTGATTGTGTCGTTTAATTAAAGCAATCAACAATAAAAATTTGACAAATTTGTAAAATGATCAAATATTATGAAACCGTAAATGTGATACATTTGTGTTATATATTGTTTAAAAAAAAACTAAACATGTGATTATGTAGTGATCCTATATAATTAAAAGCAATGATCTCCAGAGACAGACTACAGTCATTATATAAGGTCTTCGGAGTCACAAGAGTGTCAGCTAAGTAAACAAACACATCACGAAATCACACATGCACACATATCGTCCTGTGTGATTGTGTCGTTTAATTAAAGCAATCAACAATAAAAATTTGACAAATTTGTAAACTGATCAAATGTTATGAAACCGTAAATGTGATACATTTGTGTTATATATTGTTTTAAAAAAAAACTAAACATGTGATTATGTAGTGATCCTATATAATTAAAAGCAATGATCTCCAGAGACAGACTACAGTCATTATATACAGTATATACAATCAACTGAAAAATCAATCACTTATAAATTACCCAGCTGGCATGTGATCAACCTTCAGCATGGAAATATTGATGAAATAATGTCAGTAGTTGTATCAACATTAAAAAAACACTGAAATAATGTTTAATGATGAACGGTTGTAAAAAGGTTAATAAATCACATAAATTAACGTTAAAAATTTAACAAGATCTTAACAAAAAGTAAAATGTTGAAACAATGTTGTGATATCAAGGTTTACAAAATCAAAAAAAAAAAAAATAAATCAAGAGTGAATCAACCTTGATCCTTGCTTTTAAATTATTACAAAAATATTATGTTCTATAAAAACAATAGATCAAACATACAGACATATATATGGGTATATATAAGGAGAAATAAATAAGGATAAATATAATAAATAGACATTAACATATTAATGCTTGAAAACTAAAAATAATGATTAATAAAAATAAATTTAAATTTAGCAAATTGATAATATTAATATAATGATACATTTGAACAATCGTAAAATAATAAAATATAATAAAATAGTAAATTTGATAAATACTAAAAAAAAAGTGATATTTTTATGTGTCTATCTATTACTTTTTCTAGTATCTGTTGCCCAGTCTGCAATCGAAAGTCAGAAATATTGCGCATAACCTCAGTAAATGTTGTCAGATTTATGAATGGAAAAACCTAAACAAAATTTATTCTCTGAACAAGCCTTAATATCTTATACACTTTAAGTAAATGTGTGGATGTTTCAAGATTTTTACTGGAACACAAGACAAAAACACTGTTAGAGTTGTAGTGTTGGCTGCGCGGGTCAGCACCGGTCTGCTGGTTCTGCTCTGGTTTTGCTGGTGAAGGCGCGGCTGAGCAAATCGATGTGTCTGTCAGTGTCGGGTCAGACTGAGACCCGTGAGACATTCTCTCTGTTTGCTGATTTGCTCCGTCTCAGGACTCCAAACTTATGTGATTGGTTGTAAAGCTCCAGAGCTGCGGCCCGTTAAAATCCTCAGAGTCGCCGCGGCAACAGGAGTCATTAAGCAGCACAGGGTACACTGGGAGTTGCTAGGCAACCGGGCAGATCAGGTCGGCAGCCCGTTGGTCTGCGGGATGCAATCCAGCGAATTGGCACGTGCCTGCCTGCTCTTGCACCATTTCCACCATTATTTCCATGGTGTGTCCAATGAGGTTAAAGGAAAAACTCCAATTATTCACCAGAACCCCCGAACAACCCCCACCTCTGTCCCACTTTAATGTCCTCTTTTACTCAGTTTGACAAAAAGTTTTGTGCCATCACTGAGAGCCGGCGGCCAGATACACCTCACACCCCACCACACACAGACACAGACACACACACACACACACACACGCCTGCATGTGGCCCACAACAACCAACACACTTACACGGACCACACCTGTAAAATACAGACCAATACAGACCAAAAATTACTGAAAACTCCTCAATATCTCGTGTGTTTTTAAGTGTTTGGCCTCCAACCTCCCCCTTAAAACCTCAAGTCTCATCTAGAGCTTCAGATGAGATCTCAACAATGTCTCAGGCTTGCTAAGATACCAAAGTCTGCAATCAAAAGTCAGAGATCGCAATATGAACCAGGGTTATTATCATTCACTAACACTAAAACAACATTTTTGTTACTTGAGATAAAATAAACTTTAACTGAAATACAATAAAACATTTTTAAAAACTTATTTCAGCTAGTTGGCAAGACAAAAGTTATCATTTTCACTTGATGTATTAAATAACTTAAACTGAAATAAAAACGAATAAAATCTATGTTGACATTTAAAAAACAAAAACTAATAAAACTGAGAAAAACACTAAAAAAAAACGTCCGAGCAATACGATTTTCATTGGTAAGACACAATCATTAAAGAGTGAAACCACTAAAAGACACCCTAAATTACTGCTACACTGCTAAATTTCACTCTCACATGAAATAAAAACATACACAAACTTATACATGATATGACAAAATTTACAGATGAAAATGACACACACAAGCACATTTAATTAGTTAAGAGATCCAACAGACACAAGAAGAGACAATAAGAGAACAAAAGATATGATAAGAGAATAGATGAGAAGAAAAGATGCTAAGATTCAAGATTTGAGAAGATACAAAACATAAGACGAGACAAGAAGATATGAGAAAAAAAAACAACACTACACAATAAAAACACATTTAGTTAAATAAAAAGGCCATAGACTTGTATTGTTTATATTAAGTTTACTATAATTACTAAAGGCTAGCACAAAGCTTAAAATAAAACGAATTGCATTTTAAAATATTAAGAGGAAAAAATAAAACAAAACCATTATTTACTTTATTTATGCATTGTTTTTTTTCCCCCAGGTGAGACTCCTTTGGATCATCTGTCAGATTCAGCTCATTTTGAGGAAACTACAGCTCAGTAAAGATCCAGGTGTGTTTGAACAGTGTCCGATGTCTCGCTGTATTCCTGCATCAACACACACACACACACACACACACAAGTGTCTGCAGATGCTGACTTGAGGCGTTCGCTCTGGCTGATGAAGCGTCTGAACTCATGAGTGCTGAAGAAGCCGTTCACTCCAGCAGCTTCTCTCAGATAGAGAAACACGGTGTGTGTCAGATTCATTAGAGTCCCAGTAGAGTTCAGTACGTTCAAGTGCTTCATCTCTGTCTCTCTCGCAGCCTTTGGTCTCAAAAACCAATATGGCTCCCTGCACACACTCCTAATGGCTTGATCAATGCTGACAAATAGGCCAGTGCTCCTGTCTCACCTCCACACGCTCGTCTGTTTCTCTCTTACTCCACCAGCGCTCCTGTCTCATCTCCACACGCTTATCTGTCTCTCTATTACTCCACTCGTGCTCCTGTCTCACCTCCACACGCTCGTCTGTTTCTCTCTTACTCCACCAGCGCTCCTGTCTCATCTCCACACGCTTATCTGTCTCTCTATTACTCCACTCGTGCTCCTGTCTCACCTCCACACGCTCGTCTGTTTCTCTCTTACTCCACCAGCGCTCCTGTCTCATCTCCACACGCTTATCTGTCTCTCTATTACTCCACTCGTGCTCCTGTCTCACCTCCACACGCTCGTCTGTTTCTCTCTTACTCCACCAGCGCTCCTGTCTCATCTCCACACGCTTATCTGTCTCTCTATTACTCCACTCGTGCTCCTGTCTCACCTCCACACGCTCGTCTGTTTCTCTCTTACTCCACCAGCGCTCCTGTCTCATCTCCACACGCTTATCTGTCTCTCTATTACTCCACTCGTGCTCCTGTCTCACCTCCACACGCTCGTCTGTTTCTCTCTTACTCCACCAGCGCTCCTGTCTCATCTCCACACGCTTATCTGTCTCTCTATTACTCCACTCGTGCTCCTGTCTCACCTCCACACGCTCGTCTGTTTCTCTCTTACTCCACCAGCGCTCCTGTCTCATCTCCACACGCTTATCTGTCTCTCTATTACTCCACTCGTGCTCCTGTCTCACCTCCACACGCTCGTCTGTCTCTCTATTACTCCACCAGCGCTCATGCCTCACCTCCACACGCTCGTCTGTCTCTCTATTACTCCACCAGCGCTCCTGTCTCACCTCCACACGCTCGTCTGTTTCTCTATTACTCCACCAGCACTCCTGTCTCATCTCCACACGCTCGTCTGTCACTCTCTTACTCCACCAGCGCTCCTGTCTCATCTCCACACGCTCATCTGTCTCTCTATTACTCCACTCGTGCTCCTGTCTCACCTCCACACGCTCGTCTGTCTCTCTATTACTCCACCGGTGCTCCTGTCTCATCTCCACACACTCATCTGTCTCTCTATTACTCCACTCGTGCTCCTGTCTCACCTCCACACGCTCGTCTGTCTCTCTATTACTCCACCGGTGCTCCTGTCTCATCTCCACACACTCATCTGTCTCTCTATTACTCCACTCGTGCTCCTGTCTCACCTCCACAAGCTCGTCTGTTTCTCTATTACTCCACCGGTGCTCCTGTTTCTCCTCCACATGCTCGTCTGTCTCTCTATTACTCCACCAGCACTCATGTCTCACCTCCACATGCTCGTCTGTATCGCTATTAATCCACAGACGTTCCTGTCTCACCTCCACACGCTCGTTTGTCTCTCTATTACTCCGCCAGCGCTCCAGCCTCACCTCCACACACTCGTTTGTCTCTCCATTACTCCACCAGTGCTCCTGTTTCACCTCCACATGCTCGTCTGTCTCTCTATTACTCCACTGGCGCTCCTGTCTCACCTCCACACGCTCGTCTGTTTCTCTATTACTCCACCAGCGCTCCTGTC